ATATTGGCCGTACAGGCTCTAGATGCAGACTGGTACCGGCCTAGACCTACCCACAGCTACCGGACTCTAAAAATGCCGACTTTGTCTTTTCTGCTCGGCCTTTCAAGTACCCACATTTCGGCCTACCGGCCCTCAAGTACCCCACACATATGCTTACCGGCCTACTTGAGTGTTTTCCCGCTACCCCCCCAAGGGTTGCGGGGCTGCTATCGACACCACTTGAGTGTATCCCCGGCTGCAGCTCTCAAACGCCATGCCACAGGTAAGTACCGGCCCTCCCACGGGCCTGCCCAGCCATCACAGACCCATACAGGTCACACACACACTCAAGGCACTCCGACAACATGCAGGCCACACACAGTCATGCAACCCACAAACAAGCACGCACTCAGACCCAGCAAACACATCGACAGGCAGGGAACTTAGTACGGCATGCATCCTATGAGCAGAAATCAGAAATCGACTGTATGTTTCAGTCCGTGTATTGACGGGCCATTACACATATACAAAATCAATTTAAGAGAACAAAACTCGAAATCTTGTGTTCGTATGATTTTTTTTTTTATAAAGAAAAATTCGAAAAAGATTCTGGGTTGGTATATACACAAATTTCCTTTCTTGATATTTTATAGTTGTTAATCCATTTTGTAGCTGTCAAAGATTAAGGTTGCAGCAGGAAAAACAGTCAAGTAGCGGGGGTAGGCCCACAACACTTAGAGCAGCGGGAAAAGCACTCAAGTAGCAGGTAGGCCGGTACCACTCTAGTGGTAGAAGTGTCGGGTACTCCAGGCCGAGCAGAAGAGGACAAAAAGTTTAGAGGCCCAGTAGCGGTAGGCTAGAGGTAGGTCGGTACCAGTCCAAGTAGTCTGAGTCTAGGCCTGTACGGACGATTCCCTCCGCAAGGCAGGAGGTACCCCTTGCTGGGAGGTCGTGCAGCCTAGGAAGTCACCGCCCAAGAGGAAAGTAGGCCGCTATATCTTCTGGAGGAGCAAGTAGCTCCTCCTCATTTGCAATGTGCAAGGATTGGCGACATACTGCTTGAGCCAAGTACTGGGCTTGGAGCGCTGCCTGAAGGAAGGAGAGCAGCTGGGCGTTCAGCCTGGCTATGGCGAGCAGCCCTGCTCTGGGAGGAGGGAGAACGGGGCGAAGGAGGAGAGTGGCAAGGTACCTACCTGGCTATGGTAGACACCATCTTCATCACCTTGATAGGCGCTGCATCTGGAAGGCCCCAGTTGGGGTAGTGCCGCACCAAGGAAGCTCAAGGCAGAGTCAGGCATGGCGGCCTGATGAGCAGCAACATGTGTTGTCCTTTGCACAAGAGGGCAGAGCCCTTAGTAGTCCAACATAGCCTTGGCACGTGAGAGGAGGAAGGAGGAGGGAAGCCATGGCTATGGTGGACCTGTTGTTGTGCTAGCAGTAAGAGGGAACTTCGGATATCAATTCTGGTTCATCGACTCATGGTTATTATTATTATTTTGAAAGAAGAATAGGATTGGTGAAGTCAAGGAGGAGGAGGGAGGTGGAGAGAGAAGGGAGCTTCTTCTTCTTCTTCTTCTTCTTCTCTGTTCTTTGATCTCTCTCTCTTTGCAAGTGCTTTCATTTCTTTCGCAATTGGGTGGCATTGTCTTTCCTTGTGAATTTGCACTTTCGGAAACGAGGATCATAACATACCGCTGTGCCTCCATTTCAATTGAAGCTGCAACTCGTCTAACTTCTATACATACAGTGACAGAGAACAATGACAAGACACAAAGGCCTGTGAGAGACTACTATTTTGTCAGAGTTTCAGCTGCACCGTTCTACCGAGCAAAGCCGCGGTGTGTCCAATTTGTAAACATACAGTCACAGAGAACTGCCCGGTGAACTTTGGGCAAGATGAGAGAAAAGAACAAGAGGTGAGGGGCTGTGAAAGACTGTTACGTCAGAGTTTCACACTCATTCGGAGACAATCCTAGTGGCCCACTCTCTCACATCAAGGCTCTGATGTGCCCAAGATCTTCTCACCCTACCTTCTGCTGTCAGAAAACATCTCTCTCTCTCTCTCTCTCTCTCTCTCTCTCTCTCTCTCTCTCTCTCTCTCTCTCTCTCTCTCTCTCTCTCTCTC